CCAGGTTCAAGCAATTCTCCTGCCTCAGCCTCCCGAGTAGCTAGGATTACAGGCGCCTGCCACCATGCTCGGCTAATTTTTGTATTTTTAGTAGAGGCAGGGCTTCACCATGTTGATCAGGCTGGTCTTGAACTCCTGACCTCGGATGATCCACCCACCTTGGCCTCCCAAAGTTCTGGGATTACAGGCATGAGCCACCTCGCCCAGCATCTGCAGTGGTTTTGAATCTTGTTAAAATGCAGGGTAATTCTTGGGACCACAGCTAATGGGACTGGGGTACCAGGCATCTGATGCCAGGGTCATAGGTACAGCTCTACAGGCTGGTGGAGGGATCTTGGTTCAAGTGCTCCCCAATCAGGTGGCCCTCATCAAACAAGGACCCGGCTGATCCTCTCTCATTTGGTGGTTCTTGCCAGCACTGCCTCTATGCCAACAGCATCTCAGAGAGGGGTGGGTAGGGTGTCCTGGAGCCCAGCTGTGGACAGATGTTGCCGTGGGCCCTGGAAGAGAGCCAGGAAGTGTCCCCAAAGTAGCAATGTGAAGCCCTGCACGGGGTGTCACTTTCTGTTGATTGACCAGACGCTGTGGCCCTGGTTTCTGGATGTAGGGTCAGCATGAGGGACCCTGTCTCCTGGGACGGGGAAGAGATAGAGGAACAACCAGCCAGGAGCCACCATACTCCACTCTCCCACAGGGAAAGGTAATACTGGCAGCCCGATCACCTAAGCTGGGCTGGAGGGTGGGCAGGGGGTGGAGGCTGCAGTGTCCTTCCAGATGGCTCTGAAGACAGTGAAGGCTTTGGTCCCTACAGTGGCCTCCCAAGGGCACAGATGAAGGCAAGAGGAGTCCCACAAAGGCCTTGAGAGGAGGCACCTAGGAAATGGGCCTCTGGTGGGCTCCTGTCCCACGGCTGGGGTCAGGCTCTGGAGACACCTTGGATTAGGACACTGACTGAGGCTCCAGTGGGCCACCTGTGGGGGCTGAGGAGGCTGAGGCTTGGCCACAAGTCAGTTGAGGCCTCTGCAGGCGAGAGCTGGCCACCAGCAGAGAAAGGGTCTGGCCCGGCCAGTTATCCCTGTGCATCCCAGCATCCGGCATCCGGCATCCCCACAGGAGTCACAGCCTCAGGGAAGGTAGAGAGCCACCACCACGTAGATGACCCAGCTGGTGGACACAAAGACCCCGAAGAGCAGGCTGAAGAGCACCAGCGAGCGGGCCTTCCGCGAGGCCTCCTCGGCCTGGGCCAGGTCGCCCCTGCCCAGGGCTGCACGAGTCTGCAACGAGACAGGGAGGGGGTGGTAGGAGCGAACAGGGAGCCCGCACTCCCTCCCAGTGCGACTGAGGGCCAGGCCCAATTCCATAAACTTGAGAAACTGACACACTGAAAAGGTCAGGGACCTGCCAGGCCCACAGCTCAAAAGGGGGCAGGAGTGAAGGCAGTGGCGGCCGCCAGCCATCAGGTGCTTGTCACGCTCAGCACTGACGGATGCCCTCAGCTTCAACCTCTACCATCCTTGCAGCAGCCCTGAGGCTGACCCCACTTTGCAGATGTGGAAACAAAGGCTCAGAGAAGTTAAGTGACCTACCCGGGGGCACACCACTAATGGTGGAGCCAGAATTCACCAGCAGGCAGCAGCCTCTCAAGTCCCACCTCTGAGTTGTCCTGAGAGCTGCCTTCTGCTTATGGCTGGGGGCTTCAACAGCAGAGTGAAGCCAGGGCTGAGACCAGGTCAGCCTTGAGCATAGGCCCCCAGAGGCTTGCCTGCTTTTGTTTGTTTGTTTGTTTCTTCAGACAGAGTCTTGCTCCATCTCCCAGACTGGAGTGCAGTGGTGCGATCTCAGCTCACTGCAACCTCCACCTCCTGGGTTCGAGTGATTCTCCTGTCTCAGCCTCCCGAGTAGCTGGGACTACAGGTGCCCACCCCCATGCCTGGCTAATTTTTGTATTTTTACTAGAGATGGGGTTTCACTGTATTGGTCAAGCTGATCTCGAACTCCTGACCTCAGGTGATCCACCCACCTCGGCCTCCCAAAATGCTAGGATTACAGTCGTGAGCCACCGCACCCAGCCCTGCTTCTGTCTCTATTAGAGTGTCATCACATTGGCATCTTTGAATTCCCAGGGCCTAATAAATAGATGAATGGATAGAGGGATGGGTGGGTGGATGGATGGGTGGGTGGATGGATGGATGGATGGATGGAGACTAGAGAGATGATGGGTGATAAGTGGGTGTATGGATGAGTAGATGGATGGATGAATGGAGGGATGGATGGATGGGTAGGGATTGGTGGGTGGGTGAGTAGGCAGATGGATGAATAGTGGGGTGAGCGGATGGAAGATGGTAGATGGATGATGGATGGATGATGGATGGAGGCTAGAGAGATGGTGGATGGGCTGGGCGCGGTGGCTCACACCTGTAATCCCAACACTTTGGGAGGCAGAGACGGGCGGATCACAAGGTCAGGAGATTGAGACCATCCTGGCTAACAAGGTGAAACCCCGTCTCTACTAAAAATACAAAAAAAAATAGCCGGGGGTGGTGACAGGCTCCTGTAGTCCCAGCTACTGGGGAGGCTGAGGCAGGAGAATGGCGTGAACCCAGGAGGCAGAGCTTGTAGTGAGCCAAGATGGCGCCACCACACTCCAGCCTGGGCAACAGAGCGAGACTCTGTCTCAAAAAAAAAAAAAAGAGAGAGATGGTGGATGGGTGGGTGGATGGATAAATGGGTGGGTGAGTGGATGGGGAGCTAGGGAGACGGAGAGTTGGAGAGATGGAGTGGATGGATAGATTAGATGAGCATAGGAATGAATGAGCAGATTGTACCCCCTTTAAAACACAAACCCCCACTGGAATGGGCAGCATGGGACTTAGCAGTCATTCACACCTTTACTGTGAATTGTTTTGGCCAAACATTCCACAGCACATTTTGAGTAGTTGGGGGCAGAGACAGGAGGGGCAAGGACCCCACAAACAATTAGGCTCTGACTTCCCAATTCCCCACCCCCTCCAGAGGGAGAGACGCCAGGGACCGTGTTGCTGGAAAAGGGGCTCTGTGGACCCACTGGGGCACCAATGGCTGCGTGCTAGGAGAGGCTGTGCCCAGGGCCGCCCCCACACCTACCTCGTGGGAGTAGACGATGGCGATGAGGCCGGTGAGCAGACAGCAGAAAAGGGTCACCAGCACTGACTCCATCATATAGTCCTTTGGTAGGGGCCTGTGCTCGACCGTGACAGGGCCTGGCATGCCAGCCATGGGGCCATTGTACTGTGGGGGCAGAGCCACAGTGGTGAGGAACTGGCCCAACCTCTGGACAGCAGAGTGAGTGAGAAGGCCAGCCAGGCCGTGCAGGTTCTCTCACTCAGTCTTCAAGTCCCCACCCGTTGAGGCTGTAATTCACGGAGGGGTTGGGTCAGGGTGCCCCTCTGCCCTCTCCCTCTTGCACCCCTGGCCACTGAGTCCCGCTGAGCCCTCAGTCCTGCCCTCTGCAGTTGGCTCAGTCCAGGGTCCAGCCTCTGTGATATTTCATCGTCCTTACTGGGCTTGCCACCCCTTCCTGGGGGACCTCCAATCTTTCCCCCACAGTCAGCCCAGGATTTTTGTTTGGTTTTATTTTTATTTTTATTTTGGAGGCAGAGACTTGCTCTATCACTCAACCTGGAGTGCAGTGGTGTGATCTCGGCTCACTGCAGCCTCGACCTCCCTGGCTCAAGCAATCCTCTTGCCTCAGCCTCATGAATAGCTGGGGCTACAGGCGTGCACCACCACGCCCGGGTAATTATTTTTACATTCAGTAGGGATGAGGGCTCACTGTGTTGCCTAGGCTGGTCTGGAACTCCTAAGCCCAAGCCATCTGCCCGTCTTGGCCTCCCAAAGTGCTGGGATTACAGGTATGAGGCATCGCGCCCAGACTGTTTTGTTTTTAAAGCACATCTAATCAAATCACCTCCTACCCAAAGTTTCTGGGGTCCCTCACCACAGGTCCCACCTTCCTCCCCTCCCTACCAAGCCAAACAAGCCTCCACCATCCCCAGAACGCCCCGTCTCGGCCCCTCCACGCCTGTGCGGTGCGCTCTCTGTCGTTCTCTTTGCCTTAGCCCCCCATTCATCCTCCAAAACCCCACTCAAACGCCCCTACCTCTAAGGAGCCGCCAGGACTCGCCCGCCCCCAAGCCAAGGTGGCGCTTCCTCCTCTGCAAGGACAGAAGTGACCTCTCGCCCTCCGCATGGGCGCCCCCGACCACGCGCAGACAGCACGGAGGGGAGCGTGCCCAGGGCGGCCGCCACTCACCACGGGGAAGGGGAAGGTGGCCCCGGCGGGCGGCGGGAAGAGCGCGGGTGGCGTGGGCGCGGCCGGGTAGAGCTGAGCCGGCGGTGGGAAGAGCGCAGACGGCGCGGGCTGCAGGAGCACGGGCACCTGCGGGAAGGGCGGGTACAGCAGCGGCGCGGCCTTGGGGTCCGGGGGCGCGTAGGGCGGGGGCTCCCCAACGAAGCCGATGTGTGGGGCGCTGCTGGCCGCCGCCTTGGAAGCCGGACCGGCCTCGCCCACCGCCTGGGCCGGGGCGTCCTCTGGTGTGGGCTCGCTGCCCCCCGCGGCCCCGTCCTCGCTGGGCGCCCCATCCTCGTCCAGGGGCTGCGGGCGGCGCGGGAGCTGCGGCAGCGCGGGCTGGGCGGAAATCTGGGGATCCTCGGGGGCGGCGGGCTTTGGGGGACTCCGGGGGTCCTCAGGGGTGGCGGGGCTGCCGCCCCCTTTCGTGTCGGACCCTGGAAGGAAATGGCAGCGGCCGTAAGCAAGAGGCCACCAGGCTGGGTGGGACCTCCCTGGTCCCGAAGCTCCCACAAACCAAGCTCCCAGCCCTCTGCAGCTGGGCCTCATCGGATCTTGACCCAAAGGGACTAGAAAACAGGCCCAGAGGGGCCACCCGCCTTGCTAGGGTCACACAGACTGAACGACTCATCTGGGTGGGAACCCAGGCTGCTGGCCCCGCCCCTCCCCACACTGCCCCACCCCCTTTCCTTGGCAGATGGCCTCTATTGGGAGGTAGTTTTGCCCCCAACTAAGGCCTTTATGTCAAAGCTAATTGGACCAGAAAAGGAGAATCCGCCCAGGGAAGCCCCTGATTGGCTGTCCTGAGATACACCTCCAAAGAAGGGGATGCCTACCTGAGATGAGCTGAACCAATTATATTCTTGGCTTGGAGTTGTAGGGGAGGGGTGAGGTGCCCAGGAGCTGCCAAACTGTAGCTAGAGTAACATGGTGGAGCCAGGAGGTCACTAAGGGCCATATGCACACTGAGGCACCAAGAGAATGGGCACCAGAATACACAGGGCCCAGCAGTTTGAAGCCAGGACTCAGAGCCTCAAAGCTGCCCAGCTGCCTTGCTGCCGACCCAGGCCCTGGCCTTCACCACCCAAAGATAGGCCGTGGTGGTGCCTGGTCAGGTCCCAACAAATTCTTAAGGTCCCCTGCACCTCCTGAGAGCATCCCGACCAGCTGAGCACCAGAGGGCCTCAGGCAAGCGTGCAAGGAAGGCCCTGGAAGAGAATCGCAGAGCGGACTCCCCTGACATAGGTGGGCATTCAGGCCTCACAGCAGAAGTGGGCAGCCCAGAGCCAGGGTTCTGGCTTTGGAAGTCCATTTCCTAAGTGTCCTTAAGGGTTATAGAAGGCAGAGGGATGAGTGAAACAGACATCACACAGACATCTCAGTGGGGGTGGGCGGACCCTTTCTGAAGTCCCCCACGGGTAGAAGCAGGGATCCTTGCCAGAGTGATCCCAGTGGCAGGGAATGCTGAGCCCCTGGCACGTCCTGCCTCAACCCCCTCCCAACAGCCAGGGGCTCACTCATGGCCCCCACACCCCATACACCTGCCACGCTGTTTATACCTCCACACCTTTATCTGTGATGTTCCCTGTTTCTCCACCCCTTGGATCTGGGCTTGGCCGTGTGACTTGCTTTGGACAATGGGGCATTGACAAACATTTTGTAAGCAGAAGCTTTAAAGACCTTTCTCTCCAGGTTAGCAGGGGCTGGGACTGGGGAGTTAGTGTTTCATGGGTATAGAGTTTCTGTTTGGGAAGATGAAAAAGCGTTCCGGAGGTAAGATGGTGGTGATGCTTGCACAACAATCTGAGTGTACTTAATGCCACTGAATCGCATACTTATAAGTGGTTCAAATGATAAATTGTATGTTATACGTATTTAGCACAATTTTTTAAAAGCCTATCTCTCCAGCTGATGACAGTTGAAAAGTCTGGACAAAATACAAAAAGGAACCATCTAAGGTCACTGAAAAGCAAACAAAAGCAGGCAGGTTGTGGAGTGGAGTCAAAGCTTACAGAATGGCCGGGCGCGGTGGCTCACGCCTATAATCCCAGCACTTTGGGAGGCCGAGGCGGGTGGATCATCTGAGCTTAGGAGTTTGAGACCACCCAGGACAACATAAAGAAACCCCGTCTCTGCTATATATATATATATATTAACCACGTGTGGGTAGCGCATGTCTCTAGTCCCAGCTACTTGGGAGGCTGAGGCAGGACAATTGCTGAAGCCCCAAAGGCGAAGGTTGCAGTGAGTCAAGATTGCACCTTTGCACTACAGCTTGGGCTACAGAGTGAGACTCCATCTCAAAAAAAAAAAAAAAAAAAAACCTTAGAGAAATGGGCCAGTCACGGTGGCTCCCAAGAGGCCAAGGCGGACAGATCACTTGAGGTCAGGAGTTTGAGACCAGCCTGGCCAATATGGTGAAACCCTGTCTCTATTGAAAATACAAAAAAAAATTAGCTGGGCGTGGTGGCACATGCCTGTAATCCCAGCTACTCAGGAGGCTGAGGCAGGAGAATTGCTGGAACCCAGGAGGCAGAGGTTGCAGTGAGCCGAGATCACGCCACTGCAGTCCAGCCTGGGAAACAGTGAGACTCCATCTCAAAAAACAAAACAAAACAAACACAAACAAACAAAAAAACGTAGAGAAATGGACTTCGAGGGGGTGAGTTCCTGCTTTTCCCCTCTCATTGCCCTGGCAGCACAGAGCACCAGCAGCAGACCCCCACTGGAGGATCAGAACAGGAGACTAAAAGTCCAGTAGAAACGCTATCCTTCTGACCAGATGGACCAGGAAAGGAAAGGGCTCCCCACTCTCTGCAGAGTGAGAAGATGGGGGCAGACCTAGAAGAGACAGAGCTGGAGAAAGGGGGTCCCCTGATTCTGTGTGTGACCTGGGGTGACCACCCTATCACTGTCTGCCCAGGACCTTCTCGGATTTACTACTGAGAATCTCACATCCTGGGAAACTCCTTAGTCCCAAACAAACCGGGATGGTTGGACTCCCTAGAACGAATTCACCCAAGTCTCGGTCTCCCCCTGAACTGCATGTGCAGGAGACAAACCCAGACCAGCCTAACAAAAACTCTGAGAACTGACCCGAGTTTGGAAATGCCACTCATAGAAGGTGAAACAGAACTTGTGGTCTGAAACGAACCAGGCTGATTGCCTGCTGCAACCAAACCAACCCACTTTCTCCAGGGGAACTGTAACAGGACTAAGAATCTACACAACATACTCGTCAGGCCTCTGAACCTAAACTAAGCCATCATATCCTCAGTGACCTGCACTATACATCCAGATGGCCTGAAGCCACTGAAGATCCACAGAAGTGAAAATAGCCTTAACTGATGACATTCCAGCATTGTGGCTTCTGCCCCACCCTAACTGATCAATGTACTTTGTAATCTCCCCCACCCTTAAGAAGGTTCTTTTTTTTTTTTTTTTTGAGACGGAGTCTCACTCTGTCACCCAGGCTGGAGTGCAGTGGTGCAATCTCGGCTCGCTGCAAGCTCCGCCTCCCGGGTTCACGCCATTCTCCTGCCTCAGCCACCCAAGTAGCTGGGACTACAGGAGCCCGCCACCTCGCCTGGCTAGTTTTTTGTACTTTTTAGTAGAGACAGGGTTTCACCGTGTTAGCCAGGATGGTCTCGATCTCCTGACCTCGTGATCCGCCCGTCTCGGCCTCCCAAAGTGCTGGGATTACAGGCTTGAGCCACCGCACCTGGCCAAGAAGGTTCTTTATAATTCTCCCCACCCTTGACAATGTACTTTATGAGATCCACCCCCTGCCCCCAAAACATTGCTCTTAACTCCACCGCCTATCCCAAAACCTATAAGAACTAATGATAATCCACCACTGTTTGCTGACTCTCTTTTCGGACTCAGCCCGCCTGCACCCGGGTGAAATAAACAGCCTTGTTACTCACACAAAGCCTGTTTGGTGGTCTCTTCACACGGACACGTGAAACAGTACTATTCACAATGTCCAGGACACAATCCAAGATGGTTCGCCATACAAATGTGGAAACGTGACCAATGCTCAAAGGAAAAGACAGTCAGCAGATGCCAACCCTGAGATGACCTGATATTGGAATTTCTAGAAAAAGCAGCCATTATAACTATGCTCCATGAGGTCAAGATAAACAAACTTGGCCAGACGTTGTGGCTTCCTCACAGGAGGGTGCAGTGAGCTGTGATCGAACCACCGTACTCCAGCCAGGGCTACAGAGTGAGACTTTGTCCTCCCCAAAAGGGAGGCGTGGCATGTGACAGACTTTCTGTGCCTCCATTTCCTCATCTGTAAAGCGAAGATAAATCATAGTAATAATCTTTTTTTTTTTTTTGAGACAGAGTCTCGATCTGTTGCCCAGGCTGGAGTGCAGTGGTGTGATCTCGGCTGACTGCAAACTCTGCCTCCCGGGTTCACACCATACTCCTGCCTCAGTCTCCCAAGTAACTGGGACTACAGGCGCCCGCCACCACGCCCGGATAATTTCTTTTTTGTATATTTAGTAGAGATGGGGTTCCACCGTGTTAGCCAGGATGGTCTAGATCTCCTGACCTCATGATCCACAGGCCTCGGCCATCCAAAGTGCTGGGATTGCAGGTGTGAACCACTGCACCCGGCTCCTGGGTGGGGTTATTTTATAGGATTTGGGTAGATAAAGGAAAATTCCAGTCAAAGGGGGTTGTTCTCTGGTGGGGAGGGGTGGGGAATCACAAGGTGCTCAGTGGGGGGGCTTCTGAGCCAGGATGAGCCAGGAAAAGGAATTTCACAAGGTAATGTCATCAGTTAAGGCAGGAACAGGCCATTTGCACTTCTTTCGTGGTGGAATGTCATCAGTTAAGGCAGGAATCAGCCATCTGGATGTGTACGTGCAGGTCAAAGGGGATATGATGGCTTAGCGTGGGCTCAGAGGCCTGACATTCCTGTCTTCTTATATTAATAAGAAAAACAAAACAAAACAGTGTTGAAGTGTGGGGGCAGTGAAAATTTTTAGGGGGTGGTGTGGAGAGAGAATGGGCGATGTTTCTCAGGGCTGCTTCAAGCGGGATTAGGGGCGACATGGGAACCTAGAGTGGGAGAGATTAAGCCGAAGGAAGATTTTGTGGTAAGTGGTGATATTGTGGGGTTGTTAGAAGGAGCATTTGTCATATAGAATGATTGGTGATGGCCTGGATGCAGTTTTGTATGAATTGAAAAACTAAACGGAAGACACAAAGTCCGAATAAGAGAAGGAGAAAAACAGGTATTAAAGGACTAAGAATTGGGAGAACCCAGGACATCCAATTACAGCATGCCCAAGGAGGTTCAGCATAGCCCTGCCAGCAAAGATTGGAGATTGAGTTGAGCATAGTTTGTGATTTTGAGGGTCTCTAAAAGTATTAAAGCAGTGGCAGCCGCTGCACGCAGACATGAGGGCTAGGCTAAAACAGTAAGGTCAAGTTGTTTGGACAGAAAGGCTACGGGGCGTGGTTCCGGCTGTTGTGTAAGAATTCTGACCGCACGGCCGGGCGCGGTGGCTCAAGCCTGTAATCCCAGCACTTTGGGAGGCCGAGACGGGTGGATCACGAGGTCAGGAGATCGAGACCATCCTGGCTAACACAGTGAAACCCCGTCTCTACTAAAAAATACAAAAAACTAGCCGGGTGAGGTGGCGGGCGCCTGTAGTCCCAGCTACTCGGGAGGCTGAGGCAGGAGAATGGTGTGAACCCGGGAGGCAGAGCTTGCAGTGAGCTGAGATCCGGCCACTGCACTCCAGCCTGGGTGACAAAGCGAGACTCTGTCTCAAAAAAAAAAAAAAAAAAAAAGAATTCTGACCGCACTAAACATGCCTAGGAAGGAAAGAAGTTGTTGTTTTGTAGAAGGGATTGGGGTTTGAGAGATTAGCCGGACATGATCAGCAGGGAGAGCATGTGTGTTTTCATGAGAATTGTGGGGAAAAGAAAGAGAGATCAGACTGTTACTGTGTCTATGTAGAAAGAAGTAGACATAAGAGAATCCATTTTGTTTTGTACTAAGAGAAATTCTTCTGCCTTGAGATGCTGTTAATCTGTAACCCTAGCCCAACCCTGTGCTTGCAGAGACATGGTTGTGCTTGCAACCCTGTGCTGTGTTGACTCAAGGTTTAATGGATTTAGGGCTGTGCTTTGTTAAAGAAGTGTTTGCAGGCAGTATGCTTGGTAAAAGTCATCGCCATTCTCCAGTCTCTAGTACCCAGGGACACAATGCACTGCGGAAGTCCACAGGGACCTCTGCCCAGGAAAGCCAGGCATTGGCCAAGGTTTCTCCCCATGTGATAGCCTGAGATATGCCTGGTGGGAAGAGAAAGACCTGACCTGACCATCCCCCAGCCCGACACCCGTAAAGGGTCTGTGCTGAGGAGGATTCGTGAAAGAGGAAGGCCTCTTTGCAGTTGAGATAAGAGGAAGGCATCTGTCTCCTGTTCCTCCCTGGGAATGGAATGTCTCGGTGTAAAACCAGAACGTATGTTCAATTTACTGAGATAGGAGAAAACCGCCTTATGGCTGGAGGTGAGACATGCTGGCAGCAATACTGCTCTTTAATGCACCGAGATGTTTGCGTAAAGTCAAACTAAAATCTGGCCTACGTGCACACCAAGGCACAGCACCTTTCCTTAAACTTATTTATGACACAGAGATCTTTGCTCACATGTTTTCCTGCTGACCCTCTCCCCACTATTACCCTATAGTCCTGCCACATCCCCCTCTCTGAGATGGTAGAGATAGTGATCAATAAATACTGAAGGAACTCAGAGACCAGTGCTGGCGTGGGTCCTCCGTATGCTGAGCGCCGGTCCCCTGGGCCCACGGTTCTTTCTCTACACTTTTTCTCTGTGTCTTATTTCCTTTCTCAGTCTTTCGTCCCACCTGACGAGAAACACCCACAGGTGTGGAGGGGCTGGCCCGCGTCAGAGAATTATGCCAAGATAGGTAACAGATGAGGAAGAAATTTGGGCTTGACTGAAGTAATGGGGGATGTCTGTGCAGCCTTACCCAGGTTAATTTGCTGAGCCTGATGGGTGTCAGGGTCAGTCCAAGTGAAAGCAAAGAGAGGCTGGGATGAAGGGTGCAAAGGAATAGGAAGGAAAGTGTGTTTGAGATACAGAACAGAATAATGGGTTGTGGAGGGAGGTACTGAGGATAGGAGAGTATATGGGTTTGGAATCGCGGGGTGGATAGGCAGAACGATTTGGTTGATAAGGCGCAGATCCTGATCTAACCTGTAAGGCTTGTCTGGTTTTTGGACAGCTAAAATGGTGGAATTGTAAGGAGAGTTTATAGACTTTAGAAGCCTTAAAAACAGGTGAGTGGTAACAGGCTTTAATCCTTTTAAAGCGTGCTGTGGGATGGGATATTGGCATTGAGCGCGGTAAGGGTGATTAACCTTTAATAGGATGGTAAGGGGTGCATGATATACTTCTGGATTAAGGTGGGAGATACAAGAGGGAGACGCAAAGGAGGCTTTGGGTTGGGAAGAAGGGAGGCAATGAGATGTGGCTATAGTCCAGGAATAGTCAGGGAAGCAGATAATTTAGTTAAAATGCAGATAATTTGGTTAAAATGTCTCCGCCTAATAAGGGAACTGGGCATGCGGAGATAACTAAAAAAGATTGCATAAAAGAATGTTGTCGGCCGGGCGCGGTGGCTCAAGCCTATAATCCCAGCACTTTGAGAGGCCGAGACGGGCGGATCACGAGGTCAGGAGATCGAGACCATCCTGGCTAACACGGTGAAACCCCGTCTCTACTAAAAATTACAAAAAACTAGCCGGGCGAGGTGGCGGGCGCCTGTAGTCCCAGCTACTCGGGAGGCTGAGGCAGGAGAATGACGTAAACCCGGGAGGCGGAGCTTGCAGTGAGCTGAGATCCGGCCACTGCACCCCAGCCTGGGCAGCAGAGTGAGACTCCGTCTCAAAAAAAAAAAAAAAAAAAAAAAGGAAAAAAAAAGAATGTTGTCCAAGTTGGCACCAGAGTTGGGGAGTTTTAAGAGGCTTAGGAGCCTGGCTGTCAATACCCACAACAGTTATGGAGGCAAGGGAAACAGGCCCTTGAAAAGAAGGTAATGTGGAGTGAGTAGCCTCCGTATTGATTAAGAAGGGGACGGACTTACCCTCCACTGTGAGAGTTACCGGAAGCTCGGCGTCCGTGATGGTCTAGGAGGTTTCCAAGGCGATTGGGCAGCGTCCGTCTTCAGCCGCTAAGCCAAGAAGATCTGGAAAGGAGTCAGTCAGAGAGCCTTGGGCCAGAATTCCAGGAGCTCTGGGAGTGGCTGCCAGGTGAGTTGAAAAACTGAAAAACAGTCCGATTTCCAGTGGGGTCCCACACAGATGGGACACGGCTTAGGAGGAATCCCGGGCTGCGGGCATTCCTTGGCCCAGTGGCCAGATTTCCGACACTTGTAGCAAGCTCCTGGGGGAGGAGGTTCTGGAGGAACCCCTGGCAGCTGCGGTTCAGGCATTTGGAAGTTCTTGTGTGCTGGAGATGTGGCTGGGGTTTGTCTCAGCGGAGGCAAGGAATTGCAACTCAGAAATACATTGCTACTTGGCTGCCTCTACTCTATTATTGTACCCCTTGAAGGTGAGGTTAATTAAGTCCTGTTGTGGGGTTTGAGGGCCAGAATTTAATTGTGGGGGTTTTATTTAATGTCAGGAGTGGATTAGGTAATAAAATGTATATTGAGAATAAGACGCCGGGCGCGGTGGCTCAAGCCTGTAATCCCAGCACTTTGGGAGGCCGAGACGGGCGGATCACGAGGTCAGGAGATCGAGACCATCCTGGCTAACAGTGAAACCCCGTCTCTACTAAAAATACAAAAAATTAGCCGGGCGAGGTGACAGGCGCCTGTAGTCCCAGCTACTCGGGAGGCTGAGGCAGGAGAATGGCGTGAACCCGGAAGGCGGACCTTGCAGTGAGCTGAGATCCGGGCACTGCACTCCAGCCTGGGTGACAGAGCGAGACTCCGTCTCAAAAAAAAAAAAAAAAAGAGAATAAGACAGCCTTTTGACCTTTTTGTTTGTTTGTTTGTTTTTTGAGACAGAGTCTCAAAATGTATATTGAGAATAAGACAGCCTTTTGACCTTTTTGTTTGTTTGTTTTTTGAGACAGAGTCTCAAAATGTATATTGAGAATAAGACAGCCTTTTGACCTTTTTGTTTGTTTGTTTGTTTTTTGAGACAGAGTCTCAAAATGTATATTGAGAATAAGACAGCCTTTTGACCTTTTTGTTTGTTTGTTTGTTTTTTGAGACAGAGTCTCGCTCTGTCACCTAGGCTGGAGTACAGTGGCTCAATCTCGGCTCACTGCAAGCTCCACCTCCCGGATTCAGGCCATTCTCCTGCCTCAGCCTCCTGAATAGCTGAGATTACAGGCGCCGCCACCACGCCCGGCTAATTTTTTGTATTTTAAGTAGACAGGGGATGTCACCGCGTTAGCCAGGATGGTCTTGATCTCCTGACCTCGTGATCCACCCGCCTCTGCCTCCCAAAGTGCTGGGATTACAGGCGTGAGCCACTGCGCCCAGCCGGCCTTTTGACCTTTTAGGGTCTAGGGCTGTAAAGCGTCTAAGCGTTGCTGCCAAAAGAGCCATGACCTGGGCTGGGTTTTTCATATTTGATGAAAAAGAGCCTAAACACTAACTGATTTGGGGGCGATCAGGTAAAGAAAAAGGAGCATTACCTTGACTATGCCTTTAGCTCCAGCCACCCTTTAAAGAGGAAAGTGCTGGGCAGGTAGGAGAGCGCTAGTCGCGGAACGAAACTGTAAGCCAGACCAGCTGTGAGGAAGGGAGGCGATAAAAGGATTATAGGGTGGGGAGCACAGGCTGAGGAAGAATTGGGACCTAGCTCAGCCTGGCGTGGAGCAGCCTGTGGAGGAGGGGAGAAGCCAGATGGGTCTGTAGAAAAGGAAGATTCAAAAGTCTCATCGACGCTCGGGGTTGGGACTGAGGGGACAGGCGGGAGGGAAAGGAAGATTTGGGACGAGTTGCATTGGGAACAGAGACTAGGGAGGGACCGATGTGTAAAAGAATGCCTGGACGTCAGGGACCTCAGACCGTTTGCCCATTTTACGACAAGAATTATCTAGATCTTGTAGGATGGAAAAATCGAAAGTGCCGTTTTCTGGCTATTTGGAACCACCGTCGTGTTTGTATTGAGGTCAAGCGATGTTGCAGGAGAAAATAAGACACGTCGATTTTAGGTCAGGCGAGAGTTGAAGAGGTTTTAAGTTCCTGAGAACAGAGGCTAAGGGAGAAGAGGGAGGAAGAGAGGGTGGAAGGTTGCCCATAGTGAAGGAGGCAGGTTTAAAGAGAAGGGTAGAGACCCGGAGAGAAGGGGTTGGCTGAGCAGCCCTGGGCTGCAATGTGCTTGAGTTTGCCAAAGTCCCCGCAATTGACTTGCCACCAAGGGAATGTGGGTGAATGACCAAGGCAGGTGTCCCTGCGGTGATCAGACACTAATGGAATGTGGGTGAATAATCAATCAGGCAGGCGTCCCCGCTTGATTAAACACCAAGGGAAGACGGTCTTCCCGAGTCCGTGACCGGGCCTGAGTTTTGGGTCCACGAATAAAACGCGTCTCCTTTGTCTCTACCAGAAAAGGAAAGGAACTGAAATTAAGAGAAGGGAGATATTGAAGGGTGGCACCAAGATTGAAAGGAGAAACAGATTGAGGGATACTGAGAGAGGCTGGAGAAGAGAGTAAAGAGAAGCCGCAGCCGGGCGCGGTGGCTCAAGCCTGTAATCCCAGCACTTTGGGAGGCCGAGACGGGCGGATCACGAGGTCAGGAGATCGAGACCATCCTGGCTAACACGGTGAAACCCCGTCTCTACTAAAAATACAAAAAACTAGCCGGGCGAGGTGGCGGGCGCCTGTAGTCCCAGCTACTCAGGAGGCTGAGGCAGGAGAATGGCGCAAACCCGGGAGGCGGAGCTTGCAGTGAGCTGAGATCCGGCCACTGCACTCCAGCCTGGGCTACAGAGCGAGACTCCGTCTCAAAAAAAAAAAAAAAAAAAAAAGAGAAGCCGCTTACCCGATTTAAAATTGGTGAGATGTTCCTTGGGCTGGTTGATCTGAGCACCTGAGGTCGTAGGTGGATCTTGCTCACGGAGCAAAGAGCAGGAGGACAGGGGATTGATCTCCCATGGGAGGTCCCCCGACCGGAGTCACAGCACCAAATTTCACTCTCTTCTGTGTGAAGAGACCACCAAACAGGCTTTGTGTGAGCAATAAAGCTTCTTAATCATCTGGATGTAGGTGGGCTGAGTCCAAAAAGAGAGTCGGGGAAGGGAGATAGGGGTGGGGCCTTTTTTTTTTTTTTTTTTTTGAGACTAGGCAGTGGTGCAATCTTGACTCACTGCAAGCTCCGCCTCCCGGGCTCAGGCATTCTCCTGCCTCAGCCTTCTGAGTAGCTGGGACTATAGGTGCCCACCACCACGCCGGCTAATTTTTTGTATTTTTAGTAGAGACGGGGTTTCACAGTGTTAAACAGGATGGTCTCAATCTCCTGACCTCGTGACCCACCGGCCTGGGCCTCCCAAAGTGCTGGGATTACAGGCCTGAGCCACCACCCCCCGCCCCTGGGTGGGGCGGTTTCATAGGATTTGGCTAGGTAAAGGAAAATTCCAGTCAAAGGGGGTTGTTCTCTGGCGGGGAGGGGTGGGGGTCACAAAGTGCTCCGTGGGGGAGCTTTTAAGCCAGGATGAGCCAGGAAAAGGAATTTCACAAGGTACTGTCATCAGTTAAGGCAGGAACAGGCCATTTGCACTTCTTTCGTGGTGGAATGTCATCAGTTAAGGCAGGAATCAGCCATCTGGATGTGTACGTGCAGGTCAAAGGGGATATGATGGCTTAGCTTTGGCTCAGAGGCCTGACATTGGGCGCCTGTAATCCCAACTACTTGGGAAGGAGAATCCCTTGAACCTGGGAGAAGGAGGTTGCAGTGAGCCGAGATCGTGCCACTGCACTCCAGCCTGGGCAATAGAGCCAGACTCAGTCTCAAAAAAAAAAAAAAAGGGCGAACATGAGGCCAGGCTCTGCTCTGAGAGCTTTTGCTTCCGTAACCCGGGTCATCCTCTGGTGTTCTTTCATTTTTATGCTCCCCATTTTACTAATGAGGGAACCCACGCTCCCAGCAGGAAACGTGGGTCTCAGCGAGTCAGCTCTCCACTCGAAACAGGTCTCTCTGCGATGCTGTCCCTGCCCCAGCTATCAAAACAAAAACCGCAGTTTCCCTGGATCCCGCCAGGGCAAATACCTGGCCCGATGGCGCGGAGATAGAGCCCCAGAGTAAATAAACCTGCTGGCGGCGCTGCCTGGCGGGGCCTCGGGTGGGTTCTCAGGTTCTTGACACCAGAGCCTCCACCAGGCATTCCAGCTGGGAAGGGGGATCCGGGCTCCCCGCCGGGCAAGTGCTTGAGGATTTGGGGGGAGGTCCTGGAGGGCGGGGCGGGGGCGGGAGGGGTCAGCCCTCCAGCATCTCCCGGAGTTTCTTGCAAATGGGACTGGGTGCACCTCATCCCTGGGCTCTGGAGCTCCGCCGCGCTGGGGGATGCGGGGGCAGAGAGTGCGCGGGACTCTGCAGGGGTCCCACTGCTACCGCCCCACTGCCTCCTGCCAGCCAGAGACTCCCCAGGGTAAGGACGAGGTCTCGGTTCCCTGTCTCCCGCCCCTTTCAGCGCCTGGCACCTGGGGATGGGCGACGTCTAGTTGGTCCCAGCCTTGGCCGAGTCCCACCCGCGTCCACGCCTGTCTCCAGCTCTGCCCCCACCCCACCCCTCTCGGTCCCTGTCTCCAGCTCTCCGTCCCAGAATTAGCCCGTGGGGTCTCTTCCCAGCTCGTGCTCCCCACTACAGGCTCTATCTCCAGCCCGCCCTGGCCAGGGTCGCCCACTCCCCTGCTGCAAGGGCTTCAGCCTGGCCGCGGTGAGCGGAGCTGCTAGAGGCTGGACACGGGGCGGGAGGGGGCAACATGCGCAGAGAATGAACTGCCACGGCCCCGTCCCTGGCTCGCCCACAGGAGCGCCCCCAGAGCTCCCGAACTTTCCACAGCAGCTTCCCGGCCCTCCCCACCCTGGCTCCGGGTGGGGTGTCCTGGGCCGGACATTCTCCCCCATGTTGTTGCTGCCGGCTTCCGGGGCACCACAATCCCGGGCCTGGGCCCGCCCCTCTGATCCCTGCCCCTCCAGAACCGGGCCCGCAGGTATCTACCCCCAAACCCCCTCCAGCACCGGCCCCACCAGCACCTGCCCCTCCAGCAGCCGCCGCTGTTATCTACCCCCTACACCCCCTCCAGCACCTGCTCCGCCTGCACCTGCCTCGCCAGCACCTGTCCCACCAGCACCTGCCCCGCAGGCATCTGCCCAGCCATACCTGCCCCGCCAGCACCTACCCCTCCAGCTCCTGCCTCCATGGTCTGAGCCCGCGGCGGCTGCAGGGGCTGCGCGACTCCCTGGCCCTTCGCCTCCCGTCGGGCTGGCTCGGCTTGCACCGCAGGCTCAGGTTTCCTGGTGCCTGCAGCGCGGCCGGTTAATAATTGATCGCCTTGTTTGCCCACGGCTGGGTCAACAGTCGCTCCCTCGCGCCCTGAGCTCCGCCGGACCTGCCTCCCTGCCTGCCTGGGTAGAACAGGCTTGATGGAGGCTCCGCGGTGCTGTGCAGGGCTGGACGGGTTGGGGTAGGAGGGGGAGCCAGCCAGGCGGACTAGAGAAGTCAGGGTGGCACACGAGAGTGCCCGCAAGGCCAGCGGGGCAGCATGAGACAATGAGGAGTGGTGGGGACCTGGGCAACCGGACACCACAGCTGGGCGGATGTGACCTGCACGGAGGGGAGTCACGGCGGCTGTAGCTTTCTTTTAATTTTCCAGCAAAAGAAGCCAGAAACGTAGGTTTTAATGTGAAATCTCTCATTTCTGTTTTTAAGACAGAGTCTCCCTCTTTTGCCCAGGCTGGAGTTCAGTGGTGCCATTTCAGCTCACTGAAACCTCCACCTCCCGAGTTCAAGCAATTCTCCTGCCTCAGCCTCCTGAGTAGCTGGGATTACAGGCGCCCGCCACCAAGCCTGGCTAATTTTTGTATTTGTATTTGTATTTGTATTTATTTATTTATTTTGAGACAGAGTCTGGCTCTGTCGCCCAGGCTGGGGTGCAGTGGCCAGATCTCAGCTCACTGCAAGCTCCGCCTCCAGGGTTCATGCCATTCTCCTGCCTCAGCCTCCCAAGTAGCTGGAACTACAGGCGCCCGCCACCTTGCCCGGCTAATTTTTTGTATTTTTTTTTTAGTAGAGACGGGGTTTCACCGTGTTAGCCAGGATGGTCTTGATCTCCTGACCTTGTGATCGGCCCGTCTCGGCCTCCCAAAGTGCTGGGATTACAGGCTCGAGCCATCGCACCTGGCCAATTTTTGTATGTTTAGTAGAGACAGGGTTTCACCATGTTAGCCAGGTTGGTCTCAATCTCCTGACCTCGTAATCCACCCGCCTCAGCCTCCCAAACTGCTGGGGTTACAGGCATGAGCCACCATGGCTGGCCAAAATATCTTGACTTTTAAAAACCATTTGTGTGGGACTTCTGTTCTCTGAAATGTGCCAGACCGGAGAATCTGAGGCAGGTCCCAGTCCAACCACGTGGAAATGCTAGAGACACAACACCAGCATGCCAGACAGCCTTTCATGTTCATAGCTGAGCTTCCAGGTAGCCAAGAGAATCCTCAGGGACCAGCAATGAAGATAGAGGGACAGATATTCCCAGGAAGTGTGCAACAGCCCTGGGTGCTTTGGTCTCAGAGTCTAGGGCTTGAGTTCCCTGCTTTCCCTCCCGGTCTGGGAAGCAGGGAGTTGGGATGAAGAGAAATGAACAGAAAACAAAATCTACCCGTGGCCCATAGGGGTGAGAAGGAAGCTGGTGTGACCCAGTGTGAATTCTGGAAATAAAATCTCCCTGAGAGTTGTAGCCCTGGGCCTGTTCCTCACATGAATATGGAGTTCAAAGTCAGCCTATCTGCTAATCTAGATGCCCCTACCCTAAAAATTGTCATTAAAACAAAATTGGCTCTAGGAAAGAGCACCCATCCAAAGCAAATGTAAAACTACTCTGGTGGGACATGACCCCCATCCAAGCTGACAAGATTCCAATGGAGGCCCAGCATGGTAGTTCACGCCTATAATCTCAGTACTTTGGGAGGCCAAGGTAGGTGTATTGCTTGAGCCCAGGAGTTCAAGATCAGCCTGGCCAACATGACGAAACCCTGTCTCTATAAAAAATACAAAACTTAACTGGGTGGGGTGACACACACTTGTAATCCCAGCTACTTGGTTGGCTAAGGCATAAGAACTGCTTGAACCCAGGAGGCAGAGGTTGCAGTGAGCTGAGACCATGCCACTACACTACAGCTTGGGTGACAGAGCAAGACACTGTCTCAAAAAAAAAAAAAAAAAAAAAAAGAATTCAAGAAAATTTCCCAGAACTAAAGGACACAAGTGTTCAGATGGAAAGAGGTCACTGAGGGCCCAGCATACTGGGGAGAATACCCTCCAAAGGGACGTGATTGTGAAATTGCAAGATTCTAGCAGCAAAGACAGATTCTGTAAATGTCCATAGGAAACAAAGTCAGTTTTATCCACCAGATCAAGAGTCAGAATGAAATGGAATTATCAATGGAAAGATTGAGGCCAGGTGTGATGGCTCACCCATCAATGTGGCAATCTCAGCACTTTGGGAGGCTGAGGCAAAATAATTGCTTGAGTCCAGGAGTTCAAGACCAGCTTGGACCACATGGTGAGACCACATCTCTACAAAAAGTTAAAAAAAAAAAAAGCCAGATGTGGTGGTGTGCCTGTGGGTCCCAGCCAGATGGGAGGCTGAGATGGGAAGACTACTTGAACTGGGGAAGCCAAGTCTGCAGTGAACTGTTATCACACCACTACACTCCAGCCTGGGTGACAGAGCAAGACCGTGTCTCAAAAATAAAAGAAAGAAAAAGGAATAAAATAGAAGAATTACAGCAGACATCTTGTTTGAAACTATGCCAGCCCGAAGACAATGAGTGACGTCTTTGAAGTGAGGAAAAAACAAAAACAAAAAAAAAAAAACTGTCAACTCAGAATTCTATACCCAGTAAAAATCTCATTAAAAAAAAAAAAGATTTGGCCGGGCGCGGTGGCTCAAGCCTGTAATCCCAGCACTTTGGGAGGCCGAGACGGGCGGATCACGAGGTCAGGAGATCGAGACCATCCTGGCTAACACGGTGAAACCCCGTCTCTACTAAAAAATACAAAAAACTAGCCGGGCGAGGTGGCGGGCGCCTGTAGTCCCAGCTACTCGGGAGGCTGAGGCAGGAGAATGGCGTAAACCCGGGAGGCGGAGCTTGCAGTGAGCTGAGATCCAGCCACTGCACTCCAGCCTGGGCGGCAGAGCGAGACTCCGTCTCAAAAAAAAAAAAGATTTAAAAAACTTCTTTAAAAATAAAAGAAAAACATTTCACATTTGTGGCATCAAGCCATGAAAAGACATGGAAGAACCTTAAATGTGTGTTGCTAAGTGAAAGAAACCAATCTGAAAAGGCCACGTATTATATGATTTCAACTAGATGATGTTCTGGAAAAAGCAAAACTACGGAAGATGAACAGTGAACAGTGGTTAGGGAGGGGAAGAGATGAATAGCAGAGAGGATTTTTAGGGCAGTGGAATTACTCTGTATAATACTATAGGCTGGGCGCAGTGGCTCACGCCTGTAATCCCAACACTTGGGAGGCCGAGGTGGACGGATTATTTGAGGTCAGGAGTTTGAGACCAGCCTGGTCAACATAGCAAAACCCTATCTCTACTAAAAATACAAAAATTAGCCAGATGTGGTGGTGGGCGCCTGTAATTCCAGCTACTCAGGAGGCTGAGGCAGGAGAATCACTTGAACCCTGGAGGTGGAGGTTGCAGTGAGACGAGATCATGCTACCACACTCCAGCCTGGGGAACAGAGTGAGACTCCATTTCAAAAACAATAATAATAATAATAATATCATGGTGAATACATGTTATTATAAGTTTATCCAAACCCATAGAATGTATATGAAGAGTGAGCTCTAATGTAGCGATGGACACTGGTGGTAATGGTGAGTCCATATAGGTTCACCAATTGCCACAAATGTTCCACTCTGGTGTGGGGTGTTGAAAATGAGGGAGACTGTGCCTCTGGGGGTGGTAGGGAGTATATGGGAAAATCTTTGCACCATCAGCTCAATTTTTCTGTGAACCTAAAACAGCTCTAAAAAGATAAAGTCTATTACAATTCTTTTTTAAAAAGAAAAGTAATTTCTCATCCAAAACAAAAACAACAGAGGGAGTTCATTCAGGCAGAAGAAATAAAAAAACTAAAGCAAAGGCCAGGTGCAGTGGCTCACGCCTGTAACCCCAGCACTTTGGGAGCTCAAGGTAGGCAGATCACTTGAGGTCAGGAGTTCAAAACCAGCCTGGCCAACATGGTGAAACCCCATCTCTTCTAAAAATAAAAAATAAAATAAAAATAAAAAATGAGGCAGGCATGGTGGCAGGCGCCTGTAATCCCAGCTACTTGGGAGGCTAAGGCAGGAGAATTGCTTGAACCCTGGAGGCAGAGGTTGCAGCGAGCTGAGATCATGCCACTGCACTCCAGCCTGGGCAACAGAGCAAAACTCCATCTAAAATAAAAAAAAAAAAAAACACTAAAGCAAAACTAGTAGGAATTTATTTGTGTTTATAGCATACTAAAAAATAAATTAGGCCAGGCACAGTGGCTCATGCCTGTAATTCCAACACTTTGGGAGGCCGAGGCAGGTAGATTGGTTGAACTCAGGAGTTCAAGACCAGTCTGGGCAACATGGCAAAACCCTGTCTCTACAAAAGATACAAAAATTAGCTGGGCATGGTGGTATGTGCCTATAGTCCCAGTTACTCAGGAGGCTGAGGTGGGAGGATCACCTGAGTGTGGGAGGCAGAGGCTGCAGTGAGCTGAGATCACACTGAGCCACTGCATTCCGGCCTGGGAGACAGAGTGAGACCCTGTTCAAAAAATTAATTCATGGCCGGGTGCGGTGGCTCAAGCCTGTAATCCCAGCACTTTGGGAGGCCGAGATGGGCGGATCACGAGGTCAGGAGATCGAGACCATCCTGGCTGACACGGTGAAACCCCGTCTCTACTAAAAAAATACAAAAAACTAGCCGGGCGAGGTGGCGGGCGCCTGTAATCCCAGCTACTCGGGAGGCTGAGGCAGGAGAATGGCGTGAACCCTGGAGGCGGAGCTTGCAGTGAGCTGAGATCCGGCCACTGCACTCCAGCCTGGGAGGCAGAGCAAGACTCCGTCTCAAAAAAAAAAAAAAAAAAAAAAATTAATTCATTAATTATGTGACGCAGTAGAAAAGTGATGGGAGGCGTTGGCGCTGCACTCCTGTGAAGCTCTTACACTATGCACCAGCAATAGAACATTATTTGAAGATAAACAGATTAATTAAATACATATGTTGTAAACTCTAGGGCAATC